TGTCCTGAGACATCCTGACTCTAGTGGTGCACCTCAGCTGAACAAGAGTGTGTATGACTGGGCCCGTAGTGAAGTAATTGGTGAGATCCAGGCTGGTTTCATATGGACCAGAAAAGTTGGAGGAGAATGTTTGTGGCACTGCTGAAGTGCTGGCCTCTTTTATGGTATGTCATGGCTGCTTTAACATTAGTGAAGTCAAAGCTGCCACCATTAAAGTGCTTCTCAAAGGTCTTGAAGGATGCAGCTGATTTTTAGATGAGTCAAAGCAGTGGAACGTACTTCCTTTTTATGGGCCCTCCGTGGGGATGTTACAAAAACATGTTTTCCCTGAAAAATTACTGAGCAAAATTTTAATCATTCAGCAGGGAAGGGAAAAAGGAAATAAAATAAAAACCCCGAATGAGTTAACATTGTACCCAGAAAAATAGGGGAAGGTAACAGCAATGAGTATAAATTAGAAGTTAGAACATGTAGGTGTCTGATAAGGGAGGCTAAAGGAATCAGTAAAATAGTAATGAGCAGAAGGGTTAAAGGTGAAGACTAAGCATCTCCCAAGAACATTAGGAATCAACAGAACACTACAACCAATGTAACTACTTTGCTGTGTTCAAATGGTACAGTCATAACAGGAAAAGAGAGCATTAGATTGAACTCCAGCATATGAGTTATTCTCCAAATCACCCTTCTCCCTGGCAAGATGTACCGTCTGTTGTTGCTACTACCAGACTTTCAGGTGAGAAAAAGTATTGGCCAGGTAATCAAGGAGCATAAATTGTCATTGTAATAATACCTTGATCTTAACCTAGTGCATTTTTTACTCTGTACGTTACTGAAGACAGCAACACCATTATTTCATTCTTTTAGAAAGGATGCTGAGAGAAAAGGGGACTTCTCTAAATCACTGTTGGTGATTAGCAGCAGGACCAGGTATAAACCCCTGTTCTGCAGAGCCCCAGCTGCTTCCCTGTGGTCTAGCAGTGCCCATGACACAGGTGATGCACTCTGCGCTGCACTGATTTATGCCAGTGAAAGAGGGCTCATCCGTGGAAAAACAGATTCCAAAGTTGAAAATCTTGCCCACCCTGAAGCTGACAGTAATATTGTCACTAATTTAATCTGTGGATTTTTAAAGCCAGAAAAGGACTTCTCTGATTGTCTTGTCCGCTCTCCTACCTACAAAAAAAGACACAAACAAAAGTAAAACAGTAGCTAAGGAAATGTCTTCATGATTAATTCCAAAATATCAAATGAGGAATAATAAAAAAGAAATAAACCAGTTGTTTTCTTTAATAATAATAGAAGACCAAAAAAAAGCAAAACCAAACCCTGTTTAAATTCTTACTTGACTGTAAGCATTTCGAAACAGTGTCTGGAACGACAGAATAAAAGGAAATGATTTCAGGCAGTGGTTTGACACTTTCTTTGCCTTCTTGGGGCAAACTCCGGGCTGTTCCTGGGACTTTTGTTCTGTGAGAAGACGCGTGGTCGTCGTTGATGCAGTGCCAGGTGGAGTGTGTGCGGGGAGAGAAGAGAGTCAGGGCTCGCTGCTGGAGACCAGACCTGGCATGCTGCATTGTGCCTTGCTTTGTGAGCATGGCCGTTTGAATCAGCAGGGCACCTTGGGAAGTGAGGTCCTGTTTACTGGGCAGCAGATGAATAGGGACCTGTGGGAAGAAGAAAAGGGGATGCTGGCACTGCGGCATCCCTGAGGGTGGGCAGGGTGCTGGAGGCTGAGTGTGCTGTAGAGGGGCTGCGTTTCTGGTGGGTGAGCTCCCAGAGAGGAGCCAGCCTTCAGAGCCACCGCCTTGGGTGGTAATGCTGTCCTCCCTGCCAGCTGGGCAGCTCCTTTCCTTCGCTGCTTTCCCCATCCCTGGTGCACTTTGTCACGTGAGCTGACTTTTAAACCAAATTTAGTATAAATGTGCATATGCTAAGCATTAGAGAGCAAAAGGTCCTGATGGACAATTAAAGAAAAAACTGTCTGTGTTGAATGGATTCCAGGATTTTGAAGCCATTGTTTCCTGGGATGAACCAGGAGAGTTAGCTCATTGCCTTGGGGATGCTGTCCACTGGAGACATGACCTGCTTAATGTCTTAGGAGGATATCACAGGTCTGTCCTGCCTAACCTTAGGCAAATAACTTGTATCCTGCTACTGCCAGTGTGAAGAAATAGGAGAGCGTTGATGGTCCAGCTTCTTGCTTGAAATGTGGCAGGAAGAGCACAGCAGCTTCCCAAGGGTGGTGGGTGCTGCTTGTCCTGCAGGACAGCACTCTGTGTGCCCACGCTGACAGCCAGCACAGGTGGAGCAGCCAGGTTCACCCCACAGCCTTATGTTATACCATAAAGCCCCAGAGCGTGCATGGGAAACAGAAACTTGTATTGGCTTCCACAGGCTACATAAATCAGTAGATACTCTGATGTGCACAGCCTTCATACCTGGAGAGGCAGAAGAGCAGGAAGTCAGAGGCTAGACAGAGCAGGTAGCAGGTGACTGAATATTTGGGGCTTATAGCGCCCTTCTTAATTTGCAGAGATTTGTAGAAAAAGAAGTGTTTTCTAGAAAGAGGAAAGGTTTTATTATTTTTTTTTCCCGAGAAGGGAAAATACAGTCAACACACTGTGGGACACTTATAAGGTACAAGACACTCTTCTGGGCTGGATTTGCTTGTGATATGCAGTGCTGTGGGTCTGGATGTCAGCCCTCTGCCCTCACTCCAAGGAGGGTGGGTGAGAATTTAGTGAAAGTAAAACAGGACCTGTGGCAGAGACACCCACGGTGCAAGCATGCAAGAGCCAGTTGCTTGAAGCCAGTTCCCTTTCCCTCTTCCTCTTTGCCTTCATCGACTTCCCTTTCTCGAGTTATCCATGTTCTTGGATCTGACTTTCAGGTCATGCTGCACGTGGACCAGCTCTCGGAGACGCAGGCAGTTCAGCATCTGCAGCTTTGAAAGTCTTTCAGTAGGAGCCAGGCTACCCTGTCTGTTACCATAGGGGCATGTCGGAGAAGTGTGAAGTAAGCATCTTGTTGCTGGAAAGAATTTAAGAGCCTTGCTGGTCAGGGGAAAATCACAGGAGCTGATTCAAAACTAATTGCAGAGATACCTTTTATGAGTGCATGATTTTTTTGTGCACTTTGCTTGGCCGCATTAGCTTATTGATCGGATCCCTTCTATTATAACTTGTGAAAGAAAACAACCAGCCCTATCTGCACTTCTGTTTACATTTAATAAAATAAAGCAAGCGTTACTTGCACAATGCTGATTAAAAAATAACCAGAAAAGTAGGAAATCAGAGGAAGAAGGGAATTTCCTTTCTTCTGCCCATTCAGTTCAGGATTTCCCTGATCCATTGAGTAACCATTGCCACTGAAGGAAGTAGCTACTAAAAGAGAGGAGAAAGATGGGCTCTTCATGAGACACCATGGTGTGTGAGACCTGTGGGTGACAGTCTGTCATGAAGTCAAGGCAAAGTGAGTGCAAATATCTATGAAGAGCTGTGTGCAAGATAAATTATTACCTTATAGAAGAAGAGCACATCAGGCAGCCAGCACTGAACTTTGGCTCTCTCCTTTCTTGTCACCATCTCTGTCCTTTCTTGTACCCATCGGCCTCACAGAGCCTTGACTAAATTCCCCTTAATAATTGCAGCAATCCCCTGAAATAGGGACAGGGTGTTGTGTTGTGGAGGAAACCAAGTGAAGCAATTTGCCTAGGGCAGCCAAGGATACCTAGGGCAGAGCAGAGACCTCAGTTCTGTCTTTCCGTAACTAAAGCCAGTCATTGAGCCCGAAGACCCTCCTGTGTCCAGAGCTGTGGTTGTCCTCAGTCTTCCAGGGCTCTTCCCTGGGCAGCTGGTGGAATGCTCTTCCTGAATGCCATGCATGCACCAGGCCAGTTTCACTTTGCATCCTCCTTTGTACACATTGAAGTGCTGCAATGGGGAGTATCTCCTTCCTCCATGGCTCCCTAGAGCATCAGCTCCTGTCCAGCTCTGTCTTAAAATGTGTTGGCCTACGATGGGTATAGGTTGTCAGTTCAGTTTAAGGTCAGGCACTACAGGGACAGAAGAAGGAGGAACATGGGCTCTGGTCACTGGGGATTTTGCAATTCAATGAAGACGCATCTTGCATGTGATGTTTTTGGGGTCATAACCTTGTGCTTTCCTAAGGTGCCTGTTTTTGATTAATATGGGTGCATTAAAAATGCTGACATTGGAATTTGGGTTGGTTTTGCCTGGAATTGTTGATAGCTTCTTCAAAAGTACTTTAAAGTTTTTGTTATGAAATTACCACAGTAGGGGACCCACAGTGATGTTTTACATTACAATGCCATGACAATGGGATGCCAATAAACTGCTGTTAAATTTACCATAGCATCACTGTTTGGTGTATAAAAGCTAGTTGGTAAATATACATTACATGAAAAACCCCTCCTACTCAGCAAATTGTGCTTCCAGTGAATTACATGGGAGACATCAAAGGGAATTAGGGCTATATTAAGGTCTAGCTTCTCAAATTAACTATTTTTTTAAAAAAGACTTGAGGCAGGGACATTTGTCAGTGTAAGAGCTGAAATCCTGAAGGTAGAAGTGTCAAAAAAATGAAGACCTGACTAAGTGCCTTTGCATTTGAAAAGGATTAGTGCTACTGGCAGCTTGAATCCTGAAGTCAAAATCCTGAAGTGCAAAATGTGTTAGTCCAACCTGCCCTACTCAGGTGGAGAGAGAAAGAGCAGAACACTTGAGCATCTTTTTCACCCCTTCCCTCTCTGTTAAATGAAGATTTCCCTTTTCCTTGAGCTACCAGCTCTTGTTCCATCACATTTCCCATAGAAGGGCTCAACCCTGACCCGGGTCCATGCTGCTGTAGATGCAGCCCACCATTTCTTCAAGCAGGTGATGTTGCTGGATCCTCCCAGTGAGGAATGTGGTGGGCACTGGGATAAACAGATCTTTGGTGGAGCAGGGCAGCTCACACCATCCACTTGATCATCTACCACCATGGTCTGGAGCAGGGCTTTTCTCATTGTATTTGAAATGAGCCATTATGCAGGCAAAACTCTTGGAAGGGCAGTGACGCTGCTGGTTCCCACTGGTCCACAAATGGGGCGGAAGAAATGTGTGGATAGAGCTGCTGCTGGGCGAGGAGACAGCAGTGCCGGGGAGCCATCATGGCTGGAGCAGGGGGACCGAGACGATGGGGTGCGGGAGCTGCTCAAGTGGTGGGAGCAAAGCTTGTGTCCTTTCTTGTGAGTCCAGAGAGGTGTTTGAGAGCATGCATTTGCTCAGGGAGGATTTCGGGATGGACCCTGCTCCACTGCTCCTGCCATCCCATGTACATGGGAAGGTTGCAGCTGCTTCTCAGCAGCACAAGTTCCCTCCTACCCCCTCTCATGGGGTGTACCCACGTGCATGGTGACCCCTGTGTCCAGGGTTGAGGCTCCAGGTTTACTTTGCTCAGACAGGACCTTGTCCTGGTTTTGCTTTAAAGCTGACAAGATCATGGGGACAAAAAGGCTCTTGAGCTACCTTTAAGAGAGGAAAGTATCTTACCTAAGGAGGTAAGGCAGGGAAAGCTCCAGTGTGTTCCCTGGTATCATTTCATACATGGTCAGAATGATGGACGTCACAACAACTAGGAAAGAGGGTAAATGAAGTAATTCTGATAGTAAATATTGGTAGGGAAATGCTGGTGAAAAAGCAAATACTGCATCTCTGTGCCAGGAGATGGAGACTCTATTAATGCTGAAAAAGATTAGATAGAAGCAGGGGTGTTGCCTGTGGATTTTGATTTGGGCTGTTATCCTTCAAGACAGTAAATGAAGGAAAATAATATTTGGCAAATAAATTTGGTTTCGACTCTTAACACCAGCCCTCAGGCAGTACCTTGAGATTTTGCCAGAAGACCCATCTCAGGAAATTTTCAGCATGGTTTATAAACTGCAGAAGTGATGAACAAATCTCAGGTGTCTGCAGGTCTGGTCAGGGATGGATTCTTACTGCAGTCTAAGCAGGAGACTGGGTAAATAGGGGAAGAGTTGAACTTAACCATGATGTAACAGAAATTTATTCTGCATTGAAAAAGATTTGGTTACTTCTGCACAGGGAAACCCAATCATTTTTGGATATTGCTCAGGAATCACGTTTTCTCATCTTTAAAACATAAATCTTTGGTGAACACTGCAAGAACTAATAGATGGACCAGCTTACAAAGTGTTCCGTTCTGAATCCCGGCTTCACAATGCTTTATCATTTTATCGTTCAGTTTTGCCATGTGCAGCAATCTACCTCAGGCCTTTATTGAACATCAGCTATTTACAGCCATCTCCACAGATTTTTCCCTTGCTGTGATGATGATGCTGCACAGGACTGACTACTTGATCTCCTCTCCCCCTACCCTTCTGTTCACACCAGCCTCGCTCTTCAGTATCTGTGCTCTGTGTGATCACATCTATTATTTGGGAGGAAGCTGCTAGTAATAGTAGCACGCGGCTGTGCCTGTAATAATAGCAGGTGTCCCAGAGGCACAGTCAGTCCCTCACAAAGGTGGATTTGTGGCCATACAGTCATGGGTCTGGATTGCTCTGGGTCTTCCTTTGCTAGTTCTTCCTGGGCTGAAGCGCTGAGGGCAGAAGGTAAAGGAGCTCTGGTTTGCTGGGGTTTTCTGGAACAAATGCAGGCATTGCTGAGGAATGGAGGAGGAAAAAATTAAAAGGTGGGGAGGAGGTTGTGCAGGGCATGGGCTGTGTATGGATTTGCAGAAAGCTCTGAAACCTCCTGGAAGGAGGGGTAAGTGCTGGGACATAGCAGCGGATATTCTCAGCATGGTCTGCGAAGGCGAAGCTGTTCCTCTTGAACACACAGCAGCTTTCTTAGCATCCCTCACACTTCCTAAATTATCTCGGGGAAAATGTCCTGGTCAAAAGAAGGCTTCTGAACACACTTTTGCCTAGCAGGGCTTAAAGCATTGTGAGGTGGAGAATGCGAGGTGGACAAGGGTACAAGTATGGCCTGAACCAGATGGTGCCAGGTTTAGCTTCCCTGCTCAGTCTCGGGGTTTGGACAAGGCTGCCAGCTTTGTCTTCAAGGAAGAGTCTTTGACTTTGATTTAACCCCGTTTGGGGGAAGAGCTTTTAATTCCAGGACAGGCTTTAGGGTTGTCTTCTCCAAAGGACAGTGCTAGGGACCCAGCTGGCATCTCACGGATTTCCAGGTTCCTCCCATTGTCAGCGCTGGTTGGCAGTCAGGGCATGTGCTCAGTAATCACTCTGAGCCAAGCCTGCGAGCCAGGGATCGTGAAATTTGCGTGGTGAGGAATGAAAACAGGCTTTGAAAGCAAATTTATATTTCAGGTTACTTTGTAGTTCTTGGGTAAAGTGGATAATTGCATGTTTCGCATCTGATGTAACATAGTCCCAGACCTTCCCTGTCTTCCACCTATGCTCTGTCGTGCCTCCCCGGAAGGATTTTGGAGCCCCTGACTTGGTGGGCGTTTGCTGTGGAGGGTGAGGGGGCAGAGCCCCCATCCTCCTGCCTTGCTTTGCTAATCGCTGTGCTGCACTGCGCTGCCAGAGCCAGCACCGCACCAGGATTCACCTGGCCAGGCGGAAGGGCAAGGGAAAGGCTTGGGGTGGGTGAAGGTTACCAGTAGCCAAGTGTTCCTGCTGCAAGGCGCTTTGAAGACGCGGACTGTGGTCTGCGAGCATGCGCCATTGTTTATTATTAGCAATGACGATAACAGTGGCAGCAGATTGACTGCCTCTCTTTGGCTCATCCGCGTTTATCCGCATCCCAAGAACTCCCTGCCTTCCCCTCTTGGCATCACTGCCTGACAGATGAGCTGTGAGGTATGCTGGGATGTTTGGCTATGCAGTGTTTCCCAGTCAATTCCTCTCTCTTCCCCAGCCACATCCCTCTTCTTAAGCAAACATCTGATCCTTCACTACTCTTTGGGTCCCTGGACATTTATTATTACAGCTTTTGCTTATTTAAAAACAAACGGACGAAAAAATTAGCAACGAGAGCCCAGATCAAGGATCCAAAAATACGGAACCCAAGGGAGACTGAAGGCTCTAATCTTGGCACACAAAAACATTTTTAGATGACGAAGGCTTAAAAAATCCCAGCTAAAAGCAACAACAGCAAGAAAAGCAGCCCAAAGACGTCTGCAAAGAAAAATGGCAAACACAGGGCACACTGATTATCATCCTTCACCGAAGCTCAAAGCCCAGGCAAAAATAGCGTCAGGCATGGGATGCCCCGCAGCATAGCTGGCACTGCCTCAAGTGCCCAGCGCAGCGAGACGGCGTGGGGCAGACCTTGCCGGCTCCACATCACTGCCTGCACCTCCCGCTGCACTCCTCCAGGGAGAGGCTCCCTTGGTGGGGCTGTACAGGGACAGCCCTGACCCTCGGCAGCCAGGGCCAGACGCGAGGCACTCCCAGGACTGATGGTAGTCGCTGCAGCGTGGCTGAGCAAGGATGCAGTGAGGGAAGATGCATCTTATCTCCCCAGAGAGCTGCGGCGCAGGGAGGGGCACGCAGGAGGCTTTCTGCCGCTCTCCCTCCCCCTTGTCACAGCCTGCACATGCAGAGGGCTGCCCTGGCCGCTGGCCTGCCAGCCACAAGAAGTTGTCTTCCTCCAGGAGTTCATGTCCAGACCATTTCAGGTGGACCTTTGTGCCCCCATGAAGCACCTGCCGACTTCTGTGTCCCGTGGAGACCTCCCGAGCTCAGCAAAGGGAGGAGGATGTGCACTGTGCAGTGGCGGAGCTCATGGAGGAATTTGCTTTTAAAGGAGGTTTTCTTCTTCCCGTTAAATAGGGAAATAAGAGATGGGTGGGCAACATCAAAAATAATTTATAGTTTAAATCCCAGAGAATTTGTAGGGATTGCTGTGGAGCACTGAGCAACACTAGTTCCCTCCTTTTATTGGCAGTAAGCTGGATTATCAATATCACTTGCAGAGACTTCATGGGGAAAGGTCTTCCTCCTTTCAGCTTTCTTCTGGCCATCCCTCTACAAGAATATTACTTAGATGGTAAAAACATAGCTAAACTCCTTTGCACTCCCTGCACTTTTTAAACAATGAATGAATTAGGATTTTTATGCTACTTGGCTAAAGGAAGGCAGGGGCTCCTTATCTGCTCTGCTGTTCTGTTAATAGGGGAGGCACTGCCAGACTATCTGGAGCCTCTTCTCTTGTAAACTTGGCTCTCGTCTATCTGGCCTTTGTGAGCAATGCTAAGCCATAACAGAAGCTGTTAGCGGTGCTCAGAGTAGTTGAGGGAAGAACATGGTCTGGGAAACACTGTCTTCCAAATTCTGCCGGTAAACAGCTGTATGTGAAGTTATGTCTTAACATAGTTACATGTGGTAAAGTGTGCTCCCACCTGAGGACAAATTCAGGCTGACGACGCCAAGTACCCCATCACAAACACAAAGCACCAAGTTGTTGCATGCCCTCTCTCAGTCACCTAAGTTTGTCAAAACACTCGTGAATGGAGTGGGTTTGTCCTGGCAGGCTGTGTGCTGGATCAGGTATTGTGTGTCCTCCAGCCAGTGCAGCGCTGGGGATGGTGAATAAGGCTGGTGGGAATGTGGTGTCATGTGCTTGGCCACATAAAGAGGATAAGATCATGGGCTTCTATCTCAACAGCAAGATGCCATTTTCACTGCTGGGAGTGCACGCATCTCATAGGAATGAACATGAAGTCACAGTCATACAGCCAGGGTTGATTATAAATACAGACAGTTTTACTAAACAGATCACACTGCATCAGGGTTTCTGCTGAGCTTTCCCTGGTATGTGGCAGGCATCCCTCTGGGGAGTCAACCATGTCTGCAGAAATCTGCCACTTCCACTGGCATGTTGGACATGCAATGGCCTCTGCAGTGTGCTCCACTGCACTTGAACTCAATCATGAACCATGAAAATTTGCAGGACGTCACTATGAATGTGTAGCTCTTGGAGACACGTTTTCATACCCCAGGTGGCAGAGATGTCTCATGTCAGGAGCTGGGTGCAGAGAGTCTGCTTCCTATGTGTGGAGAGGTTATGAAGATGGATCGAGTACAGAACTCAGAAATCTCTCTCCTGAGACTTTCCCTAGGACTCGTGCTGTATTCATTACAGAGTAACTGTTGGAGAAGGATCTTCACATGAAGATTGATGGACCTGATGACGATGAGCTGTGCTTAGGCAGGAATCACTGACTGCCCAA